ACAAGGTTAGCAGAGTCACCTTGTAAGGATTTCAGCCTCTCCTCTTCTTGAACACATATTACGATGAGCTTATCTATGTCTCACTTGTCGGGCTACATGTTGTAGTTAACAACAAATGTTTCATATTCCTTTGGCAATAAAGCAAAAACCAAATAAATCAGGAACTCATCATTGAGCCCCAAATTCATTGGCTTCAGCTTCGAAGCCGTGTTGCTCATCTTCAATATGTGTTCTCTTATACCTCCACCAGAGTATTTCTCATTGAATAATTTCTTTATTAAGGTGCTTGCATAAGCCTTTGAAGAGCCAGTAAACTGACTCTCCACCTTATTAAGATACTCGGTGGCGGTATCACAATCTGGGATTGATCCCCTTATAGCATCTAAGATAGTGGATTTGGCCACCATCAAACACTTGCGGTTCGAGATTTCCCATTTCTTCCGATCAAGATCATATTTCATTCTAACTTCTACATGATCTTGCTTTCAAGCATTGAAATCAGCACCAGTCTTATTTTCTGCCCTCATCGGGTTCTCTAGCTCATTAGGACACGGAGAGGTAAGTGCTAAGTCATTCTCGGACAGCACAAGTGCGAGCTCATACTTCTCTCACCATACTCTGTAGTTGCCCCCTTCAAGAGGCGGAATATGCGAGATAAAAGCCATCGGGTTGAGTCCTGAAAAACAGTGTCAGAGAAAGTGAGAAAACATAATAAAATAATTGCATGCCTTAATTTAACGTTGGTCAAAATTAAAACATACAACTTCTTCTATATTAATTCTACAATACCATTGGGCAGAAAATAGAATTAATGTATAAACTCTTAAATCAAACATTTATAATATTGCTATCAACAACTTTGGTCAGAAAATAGCAAAATCATAAATTTACTGAAAATTATAACTACTCCTCAAAATTAAATCCTCCCGTTGGTTCAAATTTAATTAGAAGATTATATGCATCATCATTCGTAGCGGAAATATGAAAAATACTTTATCTACTTTTCAGAAGCATTTTACTGAAGTCATCTACTCTCTGAAAAAATTATTCCGTTGGTTCAAATTTTGACAGAGATTTAATCATCAAAACTTAACATTATTCATAAAAAAGGCTTCTGAAAATCGTAAAACAAAAAAGAAAAACGGTATTGTACATTGAAGCCCAACAATACATGGGCCAAAGATAGGGCCAAGACAAATATAAGCTCAACTCACAAGACGCTGCGCTGCGCTCCAGTCAGCCAGCCGCAACTCAGGTCTGGGCCGGGATTTCAACCTCCCGCCTGGGCCGTTTTCGGTCCAGTGATCGGTGACCGTCGGATCTCATTCGACGGCTGCGCGCGTGGATCGGAGATACAAAAGGCCACCGCGGCCACCCCCCGAAACCCTAGCCATTCTCGTCTTCCCTTTCTCTCTCTTCGCCACGCCCCTCTCTTCTCTCCTCAACAGGCGAATGAAGCCGAAGAAATGAAAGCGAAGCGTGATGATGGCGCCGCGTCTGTTGGTCCCCTCGTCGGTAGCGCGCTCCCCAATGGTGGTGCGCGCCACCGTCCGTCGAGCGGTCTGGCGACGGCGTGCCTGATCCCCACACGCAGCGCCACGGTGAGAGTCTCCCGAAACCCTAGATCTGACCGGCGCCGCCGTAGGTCCCCTCGTCGTAACACGCGCTCCCCAGTGGGTGAGCGCGTTGCCGTCGAGCGGTCCTATGACGGTGCCCTCGGCCGGGCTCACACGCAAGGCGATGAGCGCGGCTCAGCTTCGCCGCGCGCCGACGACGACGAGGCGCGGTGGAGCTCCTTCCTGCGACGCCAGCGGTGACGCGCGGCGGAAGAGTCCGGGTGGGTCCTCCTCTCCTTCATCCGATCCATTTCTAGGGTTAGGCTTAGGGTTAACTACTGTTCTTCTTCCCCGAGGAGTCTACATGGGTTAGGGTTAGGGTTTGAGTTGCTTTTCAAAACCAAAACCATTTCTTACTTCTTTTTTTCACCCAATTTGGGTTTAGGGTTCGATGAACCCTCTGCTTAGATCCAAAACGGATCTATCACCTCCTTCTAAATGCTACTATTCGGTTTTCTACTATGATAGGCTAGATCTACACCTAGTTAGGCGACTGATACCATTGTTAGACTTAAAGCAGGATCACTAGCCATAGATCTAACATGTGTACTTGTATTTGAAATAAACAGCGAGTCCTAGAACATCTACTAGTACGGGATTAAGGAGAAGGGAGAGGGGCAGTGGTCTCTGACCGTTAGAGGGCTTGGCGGAGGAGCAGCTGGAGCCATCCATGGCGATGGCGGTGGTGCGGTCCGAGTCGATGAAGGCGGTGGCGATGTAGCAGTGGAGTCCGGTGACGTAGTCCGGTGGCGGCGAGACGATGGAGCTTTCCGTCACTGGTTGCACATCCTCTAGATCGGATTCGGGTCTATTGGTGGGGCGACTTTGGTTGCTCACGGTGAACCTCATGAAGAGAGCCGCTGGCCTCACCTTTGTTTTTATAGGGCAGTGTGACAGAGGTCCACCAACCATGTAGGGTTGGGCACTTCTGATCAGGACGTGGATCCAAGAGTTCAATTGACCGTTGAGCCAACTGGTAGAGATCATCTAACAAGCACGAGTCACCGTCTCACAAACTTCCTCTGTTTCCACAGGCTCACGTTACTTCATCTGTTTTTCTCCACAGGCAGCACAGGGTTACCCTCGGACTCAGAGAAGATACATCCTGTAACTAGGATGTCCGGTATCAGCGAGAAGCGATTCGTGACTGGCTGACTGCTTAGTGCTTTGATTGATCAAGGCCATATGTCCGAGAGAACAAAAAGGATTCTTTTTTTTTTTGTTTTATAGGGAGAAAAAGAGAGAGTAGAGGGGAGAGCTGTATGATCCATGGAGACGAGCTTTGCAACCATGTTATCCAAATCCCTAAATCAAGGTACTACGATTCTACAATGGAATATATATTGCTATGGAAAACATGGTATCCACGATAGGCCCTGTCCGCTTCTCTTATAATCTATCTTTTTCAGCTTGTTTTTTTTTTTCAGTTGGAACAATGTTTTTTCTATCGCAATAAATCAACTGGAACAGTGTTTCGGTTTGTTTTTTCAGCGAAGCGAGCGGGCCAATCCAGTGGTCGGCGAGCCGCGTTTTCCTCACCGTCAGCGGTGGTGGCGACGGCACCTCACCGCACGGGGGCAAGGCAGAATGCCGATCGCGTGGGCAGCGACGCCGACGCCTCTCATGTCTCATCCAGTCGTCCCTCGCCCCCGCGCACGGACGCGTCGCCTAGGAATATCACCCAAGATCAGGCCGCCGCCGTCGCCGGGGGGGCAGCACGTACGCGGCCCGCGGGATTATTTTACCCGGCCTGTCGGGCGTTGCGGTGAGCGGCCGCGGCAGCAGCATCGCGCACCTCCCCACGGCCTACTCTGCTGCTGCTGCTGCTGCTAACATGGCCCCATGCCCGGCCGATGGGCTTTTGTTTAATCGACTGCGCGGAAGCAAGCGAAAACACGAAGGGCACGGCTGGCACGCACAGGCCCTGCTGGTATGATATCCCCTTGCCCCGCCGCATTACGCGACGGCAAGACGCCATTAGTTTAAGCTCCCCCGTGCCATCTTTCCCGGGGCTCCTAATTAACTAGGAGCGCGCCGCGCGCTCACCGGTCAGTCTCAAGATTTCGCATGCCCGGCAGGCAGGGCACATCTCAGTATATAAATACCCACTTGTTGGCGTCGAAGCCTGATAAAATGCCGGCAGACGTGCTGGGCGTCGCTGTGATTAGGCCCTGTTTTCGTCACGAGATTAGCGTGTCCTGATAGATTCGTTCGTCACCGAGCAATTAGGAACGTACGTGGACGGAAGGTGCAAGCATGGCCTGGGGGACAGCGCCGGTTGGAGCATAGCGTAGCCGGTACCTCCGCCGGAGCCGTGTCCTCTAGTCCCTGCTGGTGATGTGGACCTAATATCTGCTGCTGCGATACGATACATATACGCATAGGAAATTCGGAATACGGATGCTTTCAGCGCGACGGAAAGGAACGTAATACCAGTACGTATAGCTAGCTAGCGCGCGTCATGACCCGGAGCTCGATCGTAATGGCCCTGGTCCTGGCCTCTAGCTGGGGATTAGAAGCGTGTTCCAGTCGTTTTCTGGGTGGTGTTTATGTGTAATGAGATAGTAAGCCACGAGCTTGGGTCCTTAAAATGTGCCGGGACCAATGGTAGCAGAGAGAGAAATTTTATCCATCCAAGTACCAATGTACCATTACAAGATCTATGAACCACGCATGCGTCATCTTGCTGGTACCAGAAACAAAACGATGGAAAAGTTAGGCCAGCGCCAGCAAAAACACGAGCCCTTGTCAAAGTGAATGAAGGAATGAACACCTGATGGCACGTACTACGTAATAGTAGTACTATTATGATAGCACCCGTACTCGTGTATACTACCAAAATGTACTGGTAGTGGTAGTAGATTCGTAGTCGTAGATGGCGAGAGGACAATTCCTGTCCGGGTAGGCTTTGACCTGACGTGACAACATACGTGCGAGGCTGGTGTTGGGGGGCGACGCACCGACGCCGTACAGCCGGAACGACGAACATGAACGTGCCATGCAAATTCAGTTATGTATAACATAAAGGTTAATTTTTGACGGAGCGAAACGAGGCCCATCGCCGGAAGGCTTGGGGGGTGAAAGGGGCGGAGCCCCCCGCGGTATGGATTGTCGTCTATTAGGGTTTTCCATCTCTATATATACCTTATGTAAGCCGTCGTCTTGTGATAAGAGAAAAGTTGTAAATTACCGACGTTTGTAACATCACCCGATATAGTGAACATTTGATGGCTGATGCCCGTGGTTTTTCTCTTCTTCCTTAGGAGGGTTTTCCACGTTAAAATCTCGTGTCCCCTGTGTTTGATCTGCTGTTCTTCGCCGTTTATATTGTCTATCGTCTCTAACAAGTGGTACTAGAGCTTGGTTTCACATTAGGGTTTCGCGATGGCATCGATGAAGTTTGATCTACCGTTGCTGGAATACAATATGAGATTTTCGCTGTGGCAAGTCAAGATGCGGGTGATTCTGGCACAATCTTCGGATCTTGATGAGGCACTGGATGGTTTCAGAAGCAAAGGGCAGAAGTCATGGACCGCTGAAGAGAAGCGGAAGGATCGTAAGGCTCTGTCTCTGATTCAACTTCATCTACATAATGATATTTTACAAGAATTGCTGCAGGAGAAAACTGCTGCAGAACTTTGGTTCAAGCTAGAATCGATCTGCATGTCCAAGGATCTAACCAGTAAGATGCACATGAAGATAAAGTTGTTCACGCACAAGCTGTAAGAAGGTGGTTCGGTGATAAACCACTTATCGATCTTTAAGGAGATCGTTGCTAACCTAGTATCGATGGAGGTAAAATATGATGATGAAGATTTAGCTCTTCTACTGTTATGCTCACTGCCTAGTTCGTTTGTAAATTTTCGAGATACCATACTATTAAGCCATGATGAACTAACCCTTGCAGAAGTATATGAGGCCCTGCAGACGAGGGAGAAAATAAAAGGTATGGTTCAGTCTGACGTGTTGTCCTCCAAGGGTGAAGTGTTGCAGGTTAGAGGCAGGCCTGAGCAGAAAACCTACAACAAGAACAATAACCGAGACAATAACAAGAACGATAAAGGCCGTTTGAAGTTTAGAGGAAAGGATAAGTTCTACAAGTATTGTAAGAAAAATAATCATATCATTGATGTTTGTTGGAAGCTGCAGATAAAGGCCGTTTGAAGTTTAGAGGAAAGGATAAGTTCTACAAGTATTGTAAGAAAAATAATCATATCATTGATGTTTGTTGGAAGCTGCAGAATAAGAAGAATCGTATCAACCGAAAAATAAATCCGATGGTGATGGTAAGGCCTCTGTTGTCTCCGCTGCTGATAGTTCTGATTCAGGAGATGTTCTTGTTGTTCTTGTTGGTTGTGTTGGTGGTCGTGATAAATGGATACTTGATTCTACATGCTCGTTTCATATATGCTCTAACAGAGATTGGTTGAGTTCTTACGAGTCTGTGTAGAGTGGAGATGTCATGCGTATGGGAGATAACAACCCACGTGAGATCGTGGGCATTGTCTCCATTCAAATCAAGATGCATGATGGCATAATACGCACACTGAAAGATGTGAGACACATACCAGGGATGACCAGAAATCTCATCTCCCTCAGAACACTTGATGCCGAGGGGTACAAACACTCCGGTTCAGGTGGAGTGTGTAAGATATCAAAAGGCTCTCTTATTCATATGATAGGTGATATGAATTATGCAAAGTTATATGTTCTTAGAGTAAGTACTTTACACGGTTCCGTCACTACTACTATTGTTTCTAATGATGAACCAAGTAAGACTAATCTCTGGCATATGCGTCTTTGGCATATGAGTGAACTTGGTATGACAGAATTGATCAAGAGAGACCTACTGGATGGCTACATTTAGGGTAAGATGAAGTTCTGAGAGCACTATGTTTTTGATAAGCATAAGAGGGTAAAATTCAATGCATCTGTTCATACCACCTATCGACACGAAATTTCATCCCGTGCCGAGGGCACACGAGCAAGTCGGAAGGGTCCGCTCGAGGGAGCTGGAGATCCGCCTAGCTTCAGCGCAAGGATGGTCGATCCTGCGTACTCCTCCCGAGACGAGCCAATCAATTTGACCCTGCAATTGATAAGAAGAGAAAGCTAATTAGTAATTTAAGGCGGAACATGCGGTGTTGCCAGACAGTCTTGAATGTGTGGCTCTGAGTGCCGATATGAAAGAAAATCGACTAAATAGTCGATTCTAGCATACTCATAAAGATAAATCAATTAAAGCTCATGGAAGTTAAATCGGTTATTGCTCAGGATAGATCTCGTTATTTAGACAAACATTAGTCAATGGCAAGAGGATGTCAACAATGATTAGTTTATGTTAAGCCAATGACTACAAGTAACCGAATCCCTTTAATATAAATGAAACAACTTATCGTCATTTAACCATTTAATAAAGATAAATCTAATGAACGTATTAGATCTCATCTATCACTATGACCAGTGGGGCATAAGGCATAATCATGTAGGTCGTTGAAACAATAATAGATTCGACGACCCTAACTTATTACTAATATCAGTGGGGCAATGAGGCAGAATCATTCAGGCCGTAACACAATAATAAGATCATGGAGCTAACACATCTTTCAATATATCTTTACTTCAACGGTCTCGTGACGTGGACTGTTTATGAAAGCACTCGATATCGGCTAAAATAGCCGATTCAGGCATAGCGCACAGTTAAGGTCATGCAATATCAGAAACATATCTACCAAATAATGATCTCCACTCCACGGTGCTAACAGTGGGGTGTGAGGCAGAATCACACAAGCCGTGGTAACGGGCCATGGAACAGTTTTCGCTAGCCAACAAATCTACTCAAGATCAAACATGCCTTAACCGCACACTATGCACGATCAAGATTGACATAAAACAGCCGATAAAACATAATTCATCGTTAAAAGTATAGATTAGATCAAATTTAGATTAACAAATGATGGGTTAAAAAAGATATAATGCCGATCTAGATCAATCCCAATCGGGTGAAGTGATATTGCTGTAATTAAATAAATAATGAAAGCAATAAATAATATCGGTAACTTAATGAATCTATCCGAAGGAACGCCACCCTTAGATAGAGCCAATAACTTGACCTTAATCTAGTTCGAGCAGTGGAGGTCGACCTCATTGATGCAGCCATACTTGAACTAGACAAGAGTCGATAACTAGCTTATACCAGAGTCACAGTGGAGGTCAACCGGATCGATGCGGTCGTACGAATAGAAGTATAAGCAATGACGATACTTACAGATAAGCAGTGGAGGTCGACCGGATCGATGCAGCCGTACTTGCTGAAGAACTCGTCGAGATCTACTCTACTCCTACTCCTAAGGGGTGGCCGGAGCAAAAAAAGTAAGTAACTTGTATTTGATTGATTGTGTGCTCTTTATAATAGCCGGGGTTTGATATTTATACCAGGAGCTTAAACATGAATCCTACTCGAGCATGACTTATTACAATCTTTGACATAGAAGAAAACATTCCTAATTTAAGATAATTTGGACCCTAATCTTTCCCTTTTTGTAAAGTCTGATATGTAGTTTCCTGGCGTCAACCGCAGCTCATCACCGCTATCTGCTGACATCATCCAAAGAGATCCGACTCCAGAGTCGTATCTGAATCGGCTGATATCGATCCTTATGCAATTGATTTTTTGATTGGCATGACTTTGGAAGTTTCTAGTGCCCGCGCTTTCCTCTCCAAATTTTGGTGTAAACACATGCCCCTAATTTTGGGATAAAAGTGATTTTATTCCAAAATTTCTACTTATCTATTTACCACGCCGCAACCGTTTTGCTCCGAGATATACGCGCGAATCCTGACTTCTCGGGCCGAGTCTTATATAATGTCCCAATAGTACCCCTTCTAATTCACTCGGTCTTTTCCCCTTTTTTCTTTTCCTTGAGCAAACTTTAACAGCCGACGCCGTCATCGCCAAGGCCTCAAACCCTAGCAAATCCTCTGTTCTATCAAGCCGTCATCCAAGCGATCTTCGTCAGATTCAAACCTATTTTGGCTGCAGTGGCGACCATCAACCACGTCCCCGAGGTATGCCTCCAAGTTTTTTACTCTCCAAGCATCGGTCGCCACCTTGTATTTCTTTTCTTCTCAAACTTATTTTGTCCGATTCCCAGGAAATGAGGAACGAAATCTTGATTCCATCAGCTGCTGCTTCTAATACCTATTTTCTTAGGCCTATGGGTGATCCTGATCCATCCGATTTCATCCATCAAGAAACCAACCAAATCCCCTTCAAACAGTCTGCAGTAGATTTATCTTCCTAGAATACTCCCTTTAGAAATTGGCCTAAAATACCCAAGGGATAGATAGGCTGGTTTCGTAGGGTGTCCGAGAGGAAGGGTGGAGATTGCAAACTTTATAACCTAAATCAATGCTTGACCCTTTCGTTGTCTAGGATGGAGAGGAACAACTCACTTCTGATTGCTGCATCTTATTTTTGGTCTACCGCTCTGAACGCCTTTGTATTTGGTCATGGCCCAATGACTATCACCCTGATTGATGTCTACATGTTGACCGGCCTTAGAATTACTGGATCAATACAACCTTATGAGTACCTAAGTGCTAGCTCTAAGAAATTAGCCAAAATAGCAGACTGCACAAGATGGATCTGTTGTCAATGAAAGAGAATATGTGGTCTTCTTGAACATGTGGCTGGAAAGGTTCATTTTCTGTGGGTCATCTTGTGGTCCAACCTACAATCACAAACTCATGGTGGAGCACCTAGCATTAGGCAAGGATATCCCTCTTGGAAAGTACCTGCTAGGAGCTGCTTATCATCTGATGTACCAGGTTGCTGCCCAATTACTGAAGAATGAACCAGTGCATACTATCAGTGGCCTTTGGTGGTTGATACAATTGTGGCTTAATTTGTATATGCACAAGATTGCAAGGCCTGATCTTATAAACCTAAGCTTTCCTTCCTCTAATTTTGATGAGGAATATGAGGGTGAAGAAGGAAGAACACCCCAGTGCACGAGCTACGGCGAGGCTGCATCGGCCATAGTAATTGATTTCGATGTTGGTCATCTCTTCAAAAAGTTCTACAGAGAGTTTGATGCAGAAGTCTTGACTTGACTGCCATACGATGAGGATGAAAATAATGAGTTGATCTTTCCATTCAAATTCTGATTTGAATCAGGCTGTTCGGATGAGATGGCGGTTGTGATCTTCAATTCTTTTATCAAGCCCTCATCCTTCTAGCCAAATTTTGTCATGGTCGTGGCAAAATTGCTACAGGTTCCTTCACCCCAGCCAACCTTCCAACTTATGAGTTTTACAACCCTTTATTTATGGCTCGTCAGTTTGGCCTTGGTCAATTGCCTTCTCAATTGTTCTTCAAGAACACACTAAAGCCACGGGAAGATATCAGTGAGGTGATGGAAACCTCCAGGGTCTTTCAATTGGGATCAGATCTTCCTTCCCTTCGCTTGCATGACTGGATCAGGGCTATCTTATCTTCCACTCTTTTTGATTCCTAGTGGCAAGAATGGCGCTCCCACCTTCAACCTTTGTGTATAGCTCTGGATGGAGAATTTGCTTCTGATAGCGAGGTAACTTTTATTCCCTTTTCAGAGAAATTTCTTGGTGAATTTTCCTGCCAACTGTTCTAACCGACTCTTTTAGGATACTGAGTTCAATCCCCCAAGTTTGGATTGGAAAGGGCATCCTATAGATTATCAGCCACCATGTCTAGTCTTAAGAATGGGATCGGCTGCACCTTCACTGAAGAAGTTGATGAAAACTCATGCTGCCTCCACTATCGTGACATGTCAATCTTCAAAACACAAGGCAGCTCAAGGGACAACCTAGAAAACTACTTCTGGGAAGAGACTCCACAGAACGAGACCATCAGCTGCTTAGGTAAACAATTTATCTTCTTCTTAAAAATATTATTCAATTGCTGATCCCGTTGTTTCACAGCTATCGAGTATTGCGTCCCAACCTACTCTAGGTGCGGGACTGCTATCCTAGGCGTTTGACTTAGCACCAACTGAACCCCCATCGGCTGATCCTCAAGAGGAGCTAATTTTGATTGAAATAACCGATGCTTTTATATCAGCAGAAAATATGAGTTTTATCCTTGACACTTGTCAGAGCGTTTTCTTTAACTTTTGATCTATTCG